TCTCAGCAATTATCAACATGCTCACCAAGACTTTAGCACTGGTTGAGTCAAGCCTGAGCCCATGGTTACTGACCAGTGAAACTGGAAGGAGACACAGTTGTCCTGGAGACATCCAGGAAAAATATTTGCAAGTGACTGTATGAACCATTCTCTGGATACACACAGACATCTCACCATGAAAGAGCAATATTCATCTATTCTAAAGATCCACAAAACATACTCACTGCTGATTGCAAAAGATTCTTTAGTGGCACCGATGCAAAATGGATTACAGACAAGGGCAGAAGCTATGGCAACTTTGTAAATTAAATTAAAATGAAAGCGACGCTGGCTATACACTTACATTTTCTGTTTCACTTAGCAACAGAGACAACATGCATTGCTCCTGCATTCCATCACCCTGGACTCAGTAATGCCACCTGAGGATGCATCAGGTTACACATCCCTGGCATGTCTCTTAGGTTGTACACCCTTTTATATGATCAGGCGTGAAAATATTTTTATTTATGGGGCAGGGGAAGAGTGCAAGGCAGGATAGAGAAGTACAGATCTGCAGAGCAGCACAGCAGAAATCTCCCAGTGGAAAATGGCTGCAAAAGCAGAAAGAGACATGTAGATCTCAAATTTCTTGCTGGTGCTCCATCTTCCTCAGCTTTGGAGGATTTGCATTCTAACAGCCACAGTCAGAGCCAGGGCGAAGGGGACGCAGGAAGGAAAGCTTGTCATTGAAATTGATTGCTGAGTAATTTGGAAGGTGCTCATGTTCTCGGGCAATGTATTGAATTCCACTTCCATCGCTGTGCTCACACAGCAGCCAGACACCTCTCTGGACTTTATGGGAAGACATGATGTCATTGTCGAATCCTGCAGCCAGGTTGGTTGCTTCTTTTATTACCCTGCTCTTCCCTTGATAGTTGGCATGTTCATAGAGAGTGATCTGGGGATCGTGCAGATCTTCAGTGATCAGCTGCAGAGAGCTGATCGTATCATTCATCTTACTCCCAACGTAGTCATGTTCCCCCTCCTCGAGTACCAGGAACCTGCCTGTATAGTTTGCGTGCTCATAAGCCACCCAAGGCTGGCCAATTACTTTCACTGAGGAGATAATATCATTAAAATCCAAATGTCCCAGATTGGAAATGTCAGAAGTGATTTCTCTGGATACACCCCGGAAGTTGGCATGTTCATAAATGATGATTTTTCCCATCTTGGTAAGACTTCTGAGGATGAGAGTTCTTGCTATCGGCCTTGGATGACAGCCTGCACAAAAGGAAGACAGAAAATAAGCAAAGCTTGTAAAAAGACTTTACACAAAATGATGGAAAGCATGGGGAAATAAAGAAAATGCAAAAGATTTTGAAAAATTAACAACAGCTCCTTTCCAACAACAGCTGGAAAAGAGTGAAGGTTTGACATAGTAGTTTCGAGGTAAAAAGTAAAATGAGATATGTGCCCACAACTTCCCACTTTTAATGAATTGTGTGTCTTAGTTAGATATATGTTCAAGACTAAGTTGTAAAATATACTCATGTCCAGCCCT